CCGATGCGGAAGGCTCTCCGAGTTTTTTCAGACCTTTGAGGGGGTTGGGTTGGTGCCTTCTTGCTGGAGTAGTCTTCTGTCTAGGTAAGTTGCCTTCTTCCCTCCATCCCCGTATGGTTTGAAATATATATGTATACATATGTATATGTGCAAGTGTGCCGCTTTGGCGGCAGACGGGTGTGTGGGCACTCGGCGCTGAACCACACAAACGTGCCAACCTTGCATTTTTTATTATATTGCCTATCTATACTTTTTCGTTATGGAGGGCTTGTGATGATCTGTGAAAGGAATGAGAGAGAGAATCTGGGATCTTTTAAAACAACACACGCACACACACACACACACACACACACACACACACACACACACACACACACACACTCAGAGCGGTTTTATGGCTGTGTCAAACTAATTTCTCAGACTTACTGCCATTCTTGTCAGGGGTTTGAACCCCTGACACGTCTGCTTGGATTGCAGGGTTGGTGTGAGTACGGTCGACCCCACGTTTCTCTCTCATGGGTATCGCTAACTCTGGGTGACGTGGTGAGTCCTTCCTTGTCCACCAGTCAAATGCACCCTGGGAAAACTCTGTCCAGGTTCAACCTCCTCCTGATGAGCCGGTGAAAGTCCGACGAAACAGTCTGGCAAAATCGTGCTTTTCTTTGTGGAGCTGTCTATAGTGAACATGACGACACACACACACACACACACACACACACACACACACACACACACACACACATACATTCCGGGAGTCAGCCCGTGTGTGTCTAAACCTGATGTGAGCTGAAATCTCTTTGCGGCTCTGTGCACGGCGATGGTATTTGTGTGTGTGTTCTGGTACAGTTATGCTGTTGGTTAAGTGACCTTCCGTTTTGGTGGAAGGTCACGGGCTTGATTCCAAAGGAGTGAGCTGAACAAACTTTGACTGTATGTGTGATATTTGTGTGTTGCAAGCTAGGAGTCCTGAGCGAGGGTGGGCGTCATGTCTGTGTGTGTGTGTGTGTGCGCGCAAGTTGGAAAGAGAGAATGGGAGCACACATACACACATAATTGCAACCCCTATACTGTTTCTGACAGAGAATGACTGTACTGTGGCTGGCACGAATATGGAAGTGCTGTCTATACTGTTGATAGGCCGACACCTCCTGCAACTGCAGCTCGGCCCGCAGAATCATATGCCTGACATGCACCCAGGTATACGTGCCTGTGGATCACTTCTGTGCTATTGCCTTTGCGGATAATTCATGGACCCTGTGGGATAATGCGAGAAGGGTGCACTCAGTGGGTCAAATTAGCCCTTACTCGCACAGGGCGGTGGGGTCCCACTCGATCTGCTTGTTCATCGTGAACAGTTTGCAGCTCCGTGGAGTTGAACCTCTGTAGCTTCCAGGGGATAATTTAGCTGATCCTCTCCCCCCCCCCCCCCCCCAACACACACACACACCCCTACCCGTGCTGGAGCACTTGCCTGTGCAGATCGGATGGATTCTGCCACTGATGTGAGGGGCCCACTTTGGAGCACCACCGGTGTGCCAGCCCATGGTGTTGAACATACAGGCATGGCGCCGACTTGCGCTGACTTGCGAAACATAGGTTCACATGTGGAACAGCATAATCTCTGCTAGTATCACTATGAAGGGATGGCCACTGCCAGCCTCTGCCATGAGAACTGTAATCCATCTTTGCTTTGCAATCGTCTCCCCAACCCGCTTATTAGTTACCTGTCATGTACGCCTCTGTAGTATTGACATGTCATAATTTGAATACCTTTGAGCATGGGTCTGCTCTTGCGCTGGCATGCCAGCAAACAACATGCCATGTGTGTGCATGCATGTCCAATCCGAGAATCGAACACACAACCCCCAACGGCTTGTCAGGCAAACACCTAACCAATAAGCTAAGCGGGCCGGGGCGAAAGCGAAGCCCCAAGATGAGTGAGACGGGGCGAAAGCGCACCCCAGCAGATTGCTCCGGATTGCTCCACAACACGGTGTACCCCAGCCATGGGTGGCCATGGTTCCCATGAAGCTATCATGGAGAGTGAGTGTCCCTTTAAACCACCAGTACCCCAGGGGGTCTTAGGCCCCCTCTGGGCCCCCTCTGATGCAAATGCATAAGGACCGGCACGGCGCACCCATTCAGCCACCGCGTTAACGGCCTCAAAACGTGGAGGTACCGGTGGTTTAATCATTGCAAATAAGTTGAAATAACACTTGCCCCGCGGCCGCTGTCAAGACAGTTTTTCATTGTTGACTGAATTCAATGAATGTAAGTTTAATTGATTGATTCAAACAACCACATAAAGAGGGAGTTGGGTACAACACAGATACTAATCGCCATTCCATGATTCCAATATAAATAAGTAAATTCAAAATCAAGCTGCAGGCACATGTACATAGAGGATATCCCCGATGCCATTATCTGTCATGTCCTCTTTGTTCATGTCCTACGCTACGTGTAACACTGTACTCAGCGTACTTCCTTCCTCTGGCTGCAGCTGTAATCGAACCTTCTCCATCGTCGCTGGACGAGCAGGAGACACATCAGCCTTAGGTAGAAAACAGAATCTCACATGAACCACCTGCTGTGCGCCCTGCTAAATGGTTATCGCATCCAGGGTGAGCAGCTTACTTTGGCTATGGCCCTGCCATTGCCTGTCCATTAAGTGGCGTTAACAGAATATATAACTGGCAGGTGCGCTGAAAGGCAAACAGACATGTACATATCCCATGATCCCATGCTGAGGACAGACGTGGTGGTCCCCACACCATTCATAATAGCAACAATAAAATAGTCGTTTCACAAAGCAAGTCATTGTTTCATCAAATTCATTACAATCTTTTCTTTTGGAGTTGCATTTAAGATTATATAAGGCAAGGCTGTTTCAATTTTGGATCTGTGCATCTGGGTAGAAAAGGGGCCGTTCCCGTCCTTTGGGACATCCGTTATAATTGGAATTTGGAACGATACAGAGAAGATTAACATGGCCCCTGCGCAAGGATGACACACATAAATCGAGAAATGGTCCAAATTAAAAAAGAAAAAAAGAAAAGTGCAAGGAAGATGAGTGATAGCGAACTCCATCAATCAAACAGCATCATACATATGAGTCCAGATAGACCCGCTTTCTCCCATGGAGGAGCATTGGGGTCTGTTTGACTCTTCGACCGGGATCCCCTAGGGCGTCGACCGGTCCCTTTACCTTTTTGTGCTACGACAGCGACCACTCCACCCTCTGAAGCGTCTAAGCTGCCTGCCTCTGTACCTACTCCCTCCTGGAGGTTGCCGTCCAACTCGATGGTTGAACCATCGTTGTCGATAAACATTAAGCGACCCTTCGCCTTCCAGTTAGGAGGCAGTGTCTTCTTTCTCCCTTCCGTAGTGGGTGCCTGTCCATGCCCTATCTTTGCTTCCAGGTCTAGGGCCACCTTGCTAAACGAAGGAAAGTTGTGTATATTGATGTTGGCCTCTTTTGCCAACTGGTTCCTGAGAGGCTGTGAAAAACATCTCAGGTACGAAGTCAACAGGACCTGAGGATCATAGCGTAC